GTATACTAGTAAACACAACATTGATCTTCTGTCTGCAAATAGCATAAGGAACTCGTTAAAAATGTCATGGAAATAAAGAGACAAAAAAAAAAAGCACACTTTTATTATTGAGATCCATTCTCTTAAAAACGATTCAATGTCTAGCTCATCTTTTGGCTTTGAAGAACCTCTCTTTTATTGAGATCAATTCTCTTAAAGCCTCACTGATCATTGCCATCAGGTTCCATGAGGACAATACAGCTTTTTTTGTCTTTAGAAACTTTAGATTTGAACTCGAGCAACGATTGCTTATCAGTACTTCATCGGTATCATTATCAAATCTAGAAAATGTGCATCCGTAATCATTTAAAACAGTGACCTCACTACTAAATTTCTCTAAAATAATCAATTTATAAAAATACCCTAGTCTTTCACTAAAAACCAAATATTTATAACTATATATTTATGGATCGACGAGTTTTACTATTTGAGGTACGACATTTACGAAATTTTGATCCATTAAATGGTTTATATAAATGAATTTTATTTCGATTCATTAAATTTTGATAGATTAGTCATATCAATTTAATATATGATTTATTTATGACTAAATTAATTGAATTATGGAATGGGTTGTATTACACTTAAAAATCGGGAAAATTCCTTAAAAATTCTCCATCTAATTTTAATTTGAAAGTTTATAATACCCAATGTTATTTGATTGGAAACAAAATGCATTGTTTATTAATTTGTTGTCTATTAATACATCAAGTATATAAAAATTGTCGAATCGAAGAAACCGCTTAACAAACGATAATCGGATTGACGAAATCACTAAACCGGGGTTAATGGAATTACACTAAACCGGGGTTAATGGAATTAAACTAAACTTAGGGTTTATCGATCCCAATTCGATTTGGGGTAATAGCAAAGGACAATGTAGTATTCGGATTACCCCAAATTACCCGTGTATTTAGGGATTAGTGATTTCGTCAATCTCGGTTTAGTGATTCTATCAATCCGATTAAGCGCTTTATTCGATTCGACAATTTTTATATACTTAATGTATTAATAGATCAAAATTTGATAAACCATACATTTTATTTTCAATTAAATAATATTAGATATTAAACTTCCAAATTAAAATTAAAAGAAGAATATTTAAGAAATTTTCCTCTTAAAAATCAATACTCATCGAGTCATCGTCTTAACTCTTACGGTAAGAGACCCACTAGTGAATAGTGATGTGACCATAAAACAGAACTAGAATAGTATGTGATTTTATTTCATCATGTGTTTGAAAATATATATAGAATATTAATACATTATCAGATGAATTAAGATAAACTTTGCTAAAATTGTGTACGATAATAATATCCATTGAACTTAATGTGCAAATTAAAAAAAAAGTTTAGCTTCTTCTGGAAACAACCTTCTACAATTTCGCTATTTGTTATTAAAAAAAAAAGCTCTTGGAATTGTATCTACTTATTTTCCAAAGTTTTAATAGCCTATTAAAGGTTTATTGTTTTTTTTCTTTTCAATTTATGTTTAGAATGATAAAATCATTTTTTATTAATTAATAACCTTAAAACCTGTGAAAAAGTAGAATCAAGAAAATATTAGTATATGGTAAGAGAACGCGTTACACATTAAATTAAAATAACACAAAAATTTCCACAAAAGAGATTACGCCGTGAAATATGGTTTCATTTTACAAAAAACCAAAGAGAATCACATCTTTCCACAAATTCACATGCAAACTCACACCACCTCTTCTCACGCCACGTGTATTCATCTGACGGCTACCGTTACATCATGCATTGAAAAACACAATTTTATACAAATTCTAACGTTTTAAGGAAAAAGAGAATAAAAAAGAAAAGTCTCTACGCGTGTGTGTGTGTTTGTATTTGTATATAAAGAAGCCTTATTCGTGGGTATGTTTCTTTTCTAGGGATGATCGACATGCAACGATGAAATCATCAGAAAGATGGATGATGATGATGATGAACATTGGTAGATTCACACCATTGTTCTTGTCTTCTTTTTGTATTACTCTCTTCTTCACAGCTTTTTTCGTTTATCAGAATCCTTTTCAATCTTTCTCCGATCATAATCTTCTTTCTCTCTTACCACAAATCGGTAAGGTAAAACCATTCTTGATTTTTGTAAAATGTAACCATCAGAATCTTGTTTGTGTTTCTTGAGAGATTGGTCTGAAAAAATTGTATTGATTTTGTTTTGTTGTTGTGGTTTTTGGTTTGATTAGATTCTGAATGTGATTTGTTTGAGGGACATTGGGTTCCAGACAAAAGAGGAGCTTTGTACACGAACTCAAGCTGTTCTACGATTCCTGACTCGAAGAACTGCATAAAACAAGGGAGACCAGACAGAGATTTCTTGTATTGGAGATGGGAACCGTATGGTTGCGATCTTCCGAGGTTTAATCCGAAGGTGTTTCTCGGTATGGTTCAAGGGAAGAAGATGAGTTTTATTGGTGATTCTGTAGCTAGGAACCATATGGAGTCGCTTCTTTGCTTGTTGTCAATGGTAATATTCTAGTTGCTTTGTTTACAAGAAACGAATAATTGCTTTTGCTTAAGGTTTTTTTTGTGTGTGTTTGCTTGTGAAGGAAGAAACTCCTAAGGATATCTACAAGGATGGAGATGACAGAAACAGGATTTGGTACTTTCCGATTCACGATTTCACTCTTTCGACGTCGTGGACTAAGTTTCTTGTGGCGGAACAGGAGAGGAGAGATGGTAACAATACGGGAACTGGATTGTTTGATATAGATATTGGCGAGATCGATGAAGGGTGGTTTAAGGGTTTGCCGAATACAGATATTGCTATTGTTTCGGCTGCTCATTGGTTCTTCAGACCGATATTTATACATAGAGGAGATGAGACACTTGGTTGCATTTACTGTAACTTACCAAACATGACTCAGATTAGCCCGGAAGAAGGGTTTAAGCTTGTTTACTCAGCTGTCTTTAAGAAAATCAATGAGTGTGACAAGTGTAAGGATGGTTTGGTGACGGTACTGAGGACTATTTCACCTGCCCATTTCGAGAATGGGACTTGGGATACCGGAGGAACTTGCAGCAGGACGAGTCCTTTTGGAGAGACTCAAATTGACCTGCAGAGCAATGAGATGAAGATCAGGAAATCTCAAATTGAACAGTTTGAAGGTATAACAAAACGAGACAACAAAGCAAAGAAGTTTGCAGTTTTGGATGTGACGAGGATTATGCTGATGAGACCCGATGGGCATCCGAATGGTTACTGGGGCAATAAATGGATGAAAGGCTACAATGATTGCGTCCATTGGTGTTTGCCCGGGCCAGTCGATGCGTGGAGCGAGTTTCTGATGGCGATAATTAGACAGTTAAGATGATGATTTGTAAATAAACATTCTTTTACCTTTCTTCTGAGAATAAGCATATTACAGATGTGATTTTTACCAATGATAGACATTGAAATACACAATATTCAATAGTATAACACAAAACTTCAAAGACACAACTTTCATTTACCTCATATGGTTGCTCCCAATATTCGGCAGACAGTACAGTTTCATGTATTCACCTGAGTTTTCTCGTATTGAATCCTGGAAGATATTAATAGAGTAAAGGATCCAGCAATTCGTGTTCATGCAGAAGACATGAAACATGAATGAAGAATCCCCAATCAATACATAAATTTGGTCGAACTTAACTCTAATCTGCAGAAGATTTAAGCATCTGGATTGCGCGAAGTATGAATCAAACTGCATGTAGTAAAACTAGATGTAACATAAACAACAGCTTAACTGGAAAAGTTCTGCAGAACAAGAAGATCAAATCTTTTACAAGAAACTTCATCCACCACAATTCAAAACAAACATAATAGCTATTTTCTATACCAACCACAAGTACCTTACTTCTACACTATTCCATCAACAATGAGATCATCAAGATCAAACCTTTTACATATTACTTGATCCAGCGCAACTTGTAACGGAAACAGAATCAAAAAGCTCAAAAATTTGAGAACAAATACTAACAAATTCTTCAAACTATTTGGCACAACTTGAAACAGAAGCATAATAGCTATATTTCTTTACCAACTATACGAACATTGCCTCTACACTGTTCCCTCAAGTGTTAACTTACACACCAGCAAAAACAAGATCATCAAGATTCATAGTGCATTGTGAACAGATAACACTCTTTCGCTAATATAGCATATTGAGAAGCTCTGAAGAACAAAAAGATCAAATCTTTCACAGAGAACTTGATTTGGCACAATTCGATACAGAAACATAATTGATATCTATAGTGTTCCATCAACCATCATCAAGTTCGAAACTTTTGTACAGATAATAGCTAATATTCTTTACCACCATACCATGAGTACATCACCTCTACATTGCTCCATCAAGTGTAACTTACACACCAGCAAAAACAAGATAATCAAGATCATAGTGCGTCGTGAACAGATAACACTCTTTTAACAATATAACATATTGAGAAGCTCTGAAGAACAAAAAGATCAAATCTTTCACAGAGAACTTGATTTGGCACAATTCGATACAGAAACATAATTGCTATCTACAATGTTCCATCAACATCATCAGCAACCTCAAAAATTTTGTACAGAAAAATTTCTTTACCACCATACCATGAGTACATCACCTCTATATTGTTCCATTAAGTGTAGCTTACACACACCAGAAAAAACAAGATCATAGTGATATGAGAACAGATCTGGCACAATTCGATACAGAAACATAAATGCTATCTACAATATTCCATAAAGTTCGTAACTTTTGTACACATAATAACAAATTCTTCAAACTATTCCTCAGATAATTCATTGTAACCTCAATAGTTAACATTTCATATCTAAAGCAATGGGAATTACATGAAACTAATCAAACCTGAAACACAAAAAACATGAATTAAGACCAGCAAGTGTAACTTTTACAAACAACAGCAAAAACAAGATCATCAAGATCATAGTGATATGAGAACAGATACGGCACAATTCGATACAGAAACACAATTGCTATCCACAATGTTCCATAAACATCATCAAGTTCGAAACTTTTTTACAGATAATCAAACTATTCCTCAGATAATGCATTGTAGCTTCAATAGTTAACATTTCATATCTAAACCAATGGGAATTACATGGAACTAATCAACCTGAAACTTATCAAAACATGAAATCAAGAATCCAAATTGTTACCAAGACCAAAAGAGAAGACTTCACGGTCAGGAGAAAACTCAACCAACCCAATATCCATAGCATAACCATTCACAGGAAGCATCAAATCTCTCAAAACCAAAAACCCTTCAGCGATACGTGACTTAGGCACATCAATAGCCACAGGACAAACCGGAACCCAAGAATCAACACAATACTCTTCACCAATCTCAAACCCTTCTTTCTTCATAGCTTCACATAACTGAACCTGAAGCTGAATAAGCGAAAGAGACGGCGTCGGAGAAAGAAACAGAGCATTGTTGTCGTTTGAGAAGCTTCCTATTGAAGAGAAAGAGAGAAAGATTGGTTCTTGCTTCGATGCAAATGATTTGAGGATTGGTTCGAGCTTTGTTAAATCGATGAATTGAGTTGAGAATAAAGTTATGTGTGGACGAGACTCGTTGTTGATTAGCTTTGTGCTGATTTGACGACGAGCGAAGACGTTCCAAGCTTTCAAGACTTGGTTCTCGAGTGCTGGGTCGAAGTAGAGTTCGATTGCGTAGCCTTCTGACATCTTTTAAGCGATTTCGTATAGGAAATTTGAAGATTTGAGAGAGAGATTTAGGTTTTTGGTGAGAACAGAGAGATTTGGGAGTGAGAGGGTTGTGGGGAAGAAGAGGAAGGGAAAGTAATTAAAATGATTTTGAGAGTATTAAACTATTAATTACATAAATGACAATATTTTTGCTTACAAATATGTTTTTATATGACTTTTTTTTTTAATTGGATCAAAGTTTATATATGACTTATTATCAGCAAAACATATACTATAGAAAAAGATAAGAGTGAAAAAGGGGTTTTAGAGGAAATTTAAATCTTTGTTTTATTAATTGTGCAAATTTGTATGGATCCGAAATATTATTTTGATGTTTGAATGTTTTTTTTTTGGGAAAACATGATTATTATTATTTATTAGTCTATCAAATGCCCACACATTTTAGATTAAACAAATCTGCATATTACTATTATTGGAATCTATTTTGTAAAGTAACTTTTAGTGACCTAATATATTAGTAGAAATTTAAATATTATTATCTATATATTTAATTTATTAAATTTAAAATATTATAAGCATATGAGACATGATAAATTGGCAGAACGTTTTGGATCGATATTAATATAAATTCAAAATATTATTAACTTAGCGCTATAACACGAGTTAACCATGTATTTTGTTAATTTTTCTGTTTTGGAATAGATGATTTTTAAAGCAAATGCACATATATGAAGAAGTAATTAAAATTTTGCTTACTTTTAGATAAAAACATCTTATTGCTTATATAAACACAATTCAACCAAAGAAAAAAATAATTTGTATAATGCAAATGGTTAAAACCAATAAAATTATAATTAATTTTTCATAAATCTGTAAGAAAATCATTTATTTTTGAAAGAAAAATAAGACAAAAAAATCATCTATTCCATAATAGAGGTAGTATTTTGTTAAAATTAACCATCAATACTCTGATACTTGAATACTAGACATATCGAATCAATTTAATTTAGTTAAGTTGTATGAAAGAAAAATTTGTTCTGCTGTATACAATGTGTTAAATTAAATTTTATAATTATATCAATAATATATATACTCTACTAGTCTTCAATGAAAACATGTGTAGCTTTGTCACCATTGCAATTGGATTGTGCATTTGATCTAAGACGTGTAGGAAAGTAACACATGTCATGAGAATCTTGTCCTTAGTATTTTCGTATATATGGATGCATCATTTGTAAGAGCGTTTTTTTTTTGTTGTTGAACATAATTGTACATTCATACAAAAAAATATATCTTTATTGACTTTTGTTTTTTGCAAAAAAAAATTAAAAATTTGACTTTTGTTTATATTTCTAGTAAACTAGAATAATATCTTTCGAGTGTTAGGTTACTATAAATGATGTAATAAACTATAACTATAATTATTAAACTATGAACTTCTAACTTAAAACCAGTCGTTAATTAGTGGACATGCGCATATATTTTATATATTGTCATGATTTTTGTCCGGCTTCTTATGTAGGGCATTATACTAATGCGTTCCTTTGAGAAGATGACTAGCTCTTCTAGCAATAAATCTTGGTATTTTTGGACAAAGATCAGTAGATCAAATTTGGCTCAGACTAGGTCCTATTGGACAATGCATAAATTAGGCTCTGATAGCATAAATTTTAAAGCAATTGGCTTAGTGAAGAGATGCAAATATCTTATATATTGTCATGATCTTTATCCAGCTTCTAATGTGGGACATTATATACCTAATATGCTTTTCAAGATGATGGATCTTTTAGCTATATATTTAAGTATTCAAACAGGGATTGGTTGACCAAATTTAGGTTTTCTTTTTTTTTTTTTTTTTTTTTTTTTTTTTGTGCAAACATATTCTTCAACCAAATTTAGGTTTTCTATTTTACATTTAGGATATAGTTTTGAAGGGGTATGATTTAGTATTTGGAGTTTAGGGTTTAAAATTTAGTTATTTTGTATATAGAAAATGTATTATGAACAAGAAAGAATATTTTTATACAAAACAAAATAGAAAAATAATATTTCTACAAATTTCCCAAAGGAAATAACTTAGAGACATAATTAAATTAGTAATTACTTGGATATATGAACCACTATAGTAGCAAAGTGCTCAAGTGGAATTCCTAATTTAATAACGATGTTTGTGACTTGTGATTTTGCGAAGTTGAAAGAGTCGCGCTCATGAAAAATAGAGTTGAGCAGAGCCATCTTAAGAGCTAATGACTCATTTTGACACCTCCTAATCATAACACACACAAATTTCTCGATTATAACAAGGTCTTTTATAATATTGAAACATTAAGAGTAAAAAACTTTGGGAAATAGAAATTTTACTGTCATGTTCCGATTTAGGTAAATTCTTAAACCATGCCACCAATATTTATACATTATATCATATCACTACAAATACAAATAAATTATCAATCATGATTTCAACTGAACATCTTGGTTTTCTATAACTTCATAATTTTTAATTTAAAAAATAATAAATTTAAGGAACGTAGAGATTGAAAAGACGATTACATAGATGATAGTATGTATAGTCAAGACTAAACCATAATCTTTATTATTAACGATTTCACTTTCACCTTTTCTTTTCTTTTCTTAATATTCAAAAATCACCAATGGGACAAAAATGACATAATAAGAAATTACAAATGGTCAATGATCTAAACTCTAGAGAAGTTGAAATAGAATAGACAACGAGAATGTGAAAAAATTTAGAAAATATGTTCATTATATTTATAATTTTGATTTTTTTTTTCCAGAAAAATTTAGAAATCTATGCGTCATTATTAAATCAATTATACCTTTTTTCTTAGTTTGATTGCTTATCTTTTTAAAATGATGTTTAAAAGAAAACAAAATACTAATGTCGCAAGATGGAGTGCTGACGAGTATAAATTGAAATGTTTTGATTGACTAATTTATAACTATGTGTCATCTTCATGTTGTCACGCAGGAGAAGAGCACATTATAATTAATTGTTAATGAGTTGTCAATAATTACTGCAAAAGGATGACCATAAATTACCTGTTGGTTAGGTTTTCAGTGCTGATATTGTGAACTTTCTTTTCTTGTATCATTGGATGATTGATTTCAGTTATGCTATTTACTTTGTATATATATCGTATCGAGATATGATTTTATAATTACATAACTGCTATTAACTCAACAATTAAAACATGTACAAAACATGAACAAAGGAGGATGTAAAGCATATGGAGAGAACATGTGTTTAATCATGAATATGACGCGAGTTACTCCAAAACTTCCTTAGTGGCTTTTACGGTTGAATTCATGAATATAACTGTTGTTTGTGTTTAATCAGCCAACAAAATGAGCTGCTTTTACTGTAGCATAATCATGCATATGGTCTCAAAATCGATGTTTTGTCATATATAATTATATATTGTATCATGTTTATGTTGATAAAATTTTAAAAATCTATTTGATCTTAGTAGATATATGAAGATGGACACAAATTATTCATGCTCTGATTTCATTCTAGTGCATTGCTTATGTTTTTTGTTTGTATCATTCTAGTGTAGTCTTGAAATGGTAAAGTTAAATATCCTTTTTACTCACAAAAATTCGTAATCAACTTTTTTACATGTTCATAGTATCTAAAAACATTTGTTCGTAACTTGTATATATATATATATTTATTTATATATGAGTAACAAAAAGAAAATTGTTTAATTACAAGCTATTTATATAATTTTATTGTTACCAATTGAGTGATTTTAATCTCAATTAATATAAACACACTAAATTCGATCATAATTAATAATCATCTTTTCCAATATTATGTTTTTATTAGAAGATGAGCTTCTTCTGATGAAAGCAACAAAAATTGTGTCTTCTCTTCTTCTGCCTTTCCCCATATAACACTGTAAAACCCTAATGATATCAAAATCCCTCCGACCAAACTGCAACATTAACCACAAAACAAGAAACCTTAGACATATATGTTTGGTTTTGCTTTTATCACATACAAGTGCATGTGTCTGAAGATTAATAATGTATACCTTCCGAGGTAAAAAGAATCACCAAGAAAAATCGCTCCCATAATCACTGCTATTAAGATCGATAAAGGTCTGAATATAGCTAAGTAAACAGGTCCTTTGTTACATACAGCCCAAAGATGAATCGTGTAATATCCTGAATTAAATATCCCCTGAAAAAAAAAAGTTACATATATAAACCATTCTATGATCGAAACACAAAGTTAAAAATATAAAGATATATATATATATATATTTTTTAAATACCCCAACAACTATGCAAACCATTGTAATGTCAAAATGAATAATCCATAAGCTCGGATTGTTCTTTTCTGCTACGATTCCGAACAATGGCGTGAAGATTGAAGCAATAAGAAAATAGACGAAAGAGACAGTAACTGGTTCTGGATATGTCTTCATTATGTGTGCCTGTCCAAATCAACATATATCTACTATTAAAGTTATGACTAAATTAATATATTTCTCTATGTATATGTGTAACTAGATAACTAATATTGTATTACTTGAAGTATGAAGGCAACAGGAATAAGTGTGTCCTTGATGGCTAAAAGACAACCACCGATGATCCAATCGGAGTTTGAGGATGCTAACGGCGGAAGAAGCTGACGGAGTTGTGGAAACGACGGAGAAGACGGGGCGAAGAGGCGGTGGCCATGGTAGAGAACCACCACAAGTGCACCAACTAGTGAAACTATTGTCCCAACTATTTTGGCTACACTACTCCTTTCATTGAAAGATGCTTTCTCCATTCTATTTTTTTTTTTCACAAATTGAAAACATGAAAATAAAACTAATTAAATAGTTTGCTAATGGGTTAAAATGATCCTTTTAATTATTGAGCTGACAATTTTAAAGATTGCTATTAAAAATGAAATTTGTAGTAGTATGCTCTTTTTTTTTGGGATTATGTAATCAATAATGAAAAGATCTTTTAATTAACGTTTGGTTGGAAAAAATGAAATATGTAATAAAATATGACACGTTATTATATAAAAACCCTTAATTTTTTTAAAATTTATTATATAGTATATTTTCTTACCGTAAGACCATCCTTAATGTAGTAGTTTAGGTGTTCTTAACTTAAATGCATGCTAAGAGCCTATTAAGAGACTAACAATAATATTTATAGATCCCACGTTTATAAATAATATATTTATAAATGGTGTATTAAAATCTTCACATAAACTTTTCATTAACGAACCCACCAAAAACTATAAACGTTAAGTTGTACTTGATTTATATATTTGTAAATGTAATTACATATCTATTTTAACGTTAGAACCATAGAACTACATACTGTAAATGACCTTTGACTACGAGTCTCATTTAAATATATATGTACGTACGTACCAGTTTCTCCAACGACAGCTAAAACATTGTCATTACAATTATATAGTTACACTTAAAAACCAAATTTAATAAGGGTCCATTTGCTATAAAAGAATGTCACATGTGGTACTAACTCAGTAAATAATGGAAGACATAACTCTATGTGGCTCCATGTGTCCCAATGTTCATAGTTATACACTACAATGCCAAGAGTATAGTTTCAGCCACTACCACTACAACTGAATACTTCAATGTTGACTATTGTGGTTCTTTTATATATACACATTTTTATTTTAATGGGTAGAAAATTGTTGATATTATTAATGAACCACTACATAATTGTTAAAAAAAGAAACAGAAGGACAAAATAAAACCTGAAGATAATGGCGAGGATAAAGGTAATAGCAGGATTGATATTGCTAATGGCTGAAGCTAAGGTTGGGCTGCTGTATTCGATGCCAATGAATCCTATGATTAGATACGTTGATCTGCTCATGTATATTTATATTTAGCAAAATGTTTAATTAACTATATATTAGTATATTTGAAATAGCTTTAGTAAAAATATATATAGGAAAATAATGACATACTCAAAATTTTTAAGAAGAATACAAGTAATGTAGTTGGCTTTACCCTAGCAACCCAAGAACTCCTATTTTACAAAGTATTGAGAAGCTTAGTGGAGGAAGTGATCTTGATCTGCAAAAACAAATACATAAATCATGCAATAAAAAACTTCTGATAAAACAAGAAACAAGCAAATATAATTATTTAGAAACCATGTAATAGAAGATGTAAGGAACAAGAAGAACAAAAGAGCCAATGAGATAAGAATAGATTAGGTAGGTATAAGAACTAAGTCCTTTTGAAGTTGCTGCTTTGAATAGAGTATTCATCGCAACGTTTCCGGTTTCGGTAGCCAACATTGCCGTCATTAACATGGCGTCTCTCCGGTGGAGACTAACGGAGGCCATTATCGGAGAGTTCAAGAGATAGAAAGCTTAATCTGTGGAATGACTTATATATGAAAGCATAGTTCTTTTTAAAATTTATTGCGTTTGTCTTTGGGACCAAAATGATAAATTCGGACAAAGAAGTTATTAAATTTTAGTAGACCTTGATTACTACCATCTGGTTTCTCCTAGTTTTATGTGAAATGGTACTTTGAATAATTTAAACTTTTGTCAAATTTTTTATCACTTATAATACAAGAAAACAATATTGTTCCCGACGGAATTCCTGATGGATAATTATCTGTCGAGAATTTTCGATAAATTCTCGACCGATAAAGTACGAGATTTGGACCGTTGTAATTTGTCGGAAATTCTCGACCGATAAAGGACGAAATTTGGACCGTCATAATTTTTCGGTAATGCATCGGGAGGTTTATATCTTACTAGTAATGAAGTGGCTTTTTTAATCATTTTCTGTTTTTTCAGCATATTACATAACCCATGTCTTCTCTTCAGTTGCTGACATGTGAGAGAAGGATGAGAGGAGTTAGCAATACGTAATTCAATAATAGAATGCATTTACACATTACCCAAAAGTGTAACTAAGAGTTACAAGTAAATCTCTTCTTGGATCTAGTTTCATTATAGTTTCAAATTTGGTCAGTGTATCCATCCAATAGAGGAGTGGTCTTCTCCTTTTCCGAAACTAAAAACAACTGATCCTTGTCTTCGTTTGCTTTGCCCCACATCACAGCGTAAAACCCCATTGTTATCAAAACTCCTCCGATCAAACTGTAAAATGTAGCAAAAATAATCAAAACATTTTGTTTTACAAAATCATTTATGAAGATTAATATTGATTCACCTACCATCCAAGATAGAGAGAATCATTGAGAAAAACCGCGCTCATAACCACTGCGATTAAGATCGACAAAGGCTTAAATATCGCTAAGTACAAAGGTCCTTTGTGACGTACTGTCCATGAATGAATCACATAATATACTGAAGTTATTATAGCCTGAAAAATTTCATAAAAGGCTATGTTTAAGATCACAATGACATAAATTTGGTAAACAAATTTTAAAAATATATAACATACCATAGTTACAATTGTTATCAAAGTAATATCGAATCGAATGATCCAAACACTTGGATTGTTTTTTTCGACTACTAGTCCAATCATCGTGGTCACGACGGAAACACATACAGTGTAGAGAAAGGAGACTCTAAATGCTGCTGGATATTCACTCATAATTTTTGCCTGTCCAAAATCATTATATAGAATTAAACATTGAAATGTTTTATGTATAATCATAACCCTGAATCTTCCATGATCAGTACGCATGACCAAACTCTAATCCTGATAATCCAGACTATAGAGTTGAAAGAAAATGGTAAAGAATTAAAAGATATATCTCTGGCCATAAGATTTTGTCATATGAATCGCCTCTAGTAGCGAAGAAAAGACTACTGATCAGACATAAGCTACCTTTATTCGGGAAATATGAGACTAATTAATAATGGGATTCTAACAGATTTTGCCATTTTCTAGGACAAATTTTACGAATGTGCCATTTTTGCTAAAATTTTTTTATGGATTTGCCATTTTTGAAATTTTTAAAAATGTTCATTTTTTCATTTTTGTTTTTGCTAAAAGATGTATTTTATAGTAAATACTAAACCTAAAGACAATTAGAGCCGACTAAAAACTCAAACATAACGAGTTTAATAATATTTTTCTAATCTGAAAAATGGCAAATCCAAAAATATGGTACGGAAAAATAGCAAATTAATAAATGATTCATTAGTAAATAAGAGAGTTGAATAAATAAAAATTAGATAATAGTTAAGAGAGTTGAATAAATAGAAAATAGTTGAATTTGCCATTTTTCAAGATTTTTAAACACAAACTTAATACATTATTATTGTGTTTTTTGCTTTCATATTTTCTTAGACTTTAGTATTTGTTATGAAGTATTTTAGCGAAAAAAAGAAATCAAATGTATACAGATCTTAACGTGACCAAAAATATCAAATCTAAAATATTTGAAGAAAATGGGAGATTTTAAAAATAAAGAGTGACTGATTGATACCTGAAGAATGAAAGAAACAGAAACGAAGATGTCTCTTATAGTTAGAAGAGCTCCTCCAATAAGCCAATCAGAGTTTGAAGACGACAACAACGATGGAGAAAGCTGACCAAACTTCACATACGGCAACGAAGATGCCACAAAGACAGGTGGACCGTGGTAGAGAACCACCACAAGTGCGCCTAGTAATGACAATAACGTTCCCATCACTTTGGCTACACTGCTTTTTTCTTTGAATGATACTTTTTCCATTCTTTTTATTTTCACAAATTAACCAAAATAAAAAAAGTGTTACATTATATTCCAAAACAATGAAAGATGAATTGATACGCATCTAGTTGAGTAATGCAACCAAGTTGTGTGATTCAGAAAACGTTTATATGCAAACCCTTTTATGGTTTAGCTCATTTGTCACATATATGTCACATTCTGATGATTCCTAATTAATGTCTTTCCACTAAATACGTGTGCAATCAGCTTTACTCGGATTGAACTAGATATATACAATGCGAAAATTAGACTGTAATGTTAGATATTCTTGGATGCTAAATAGAAGAGACCAAACTTTTTATATTCTATGTTTACTTCCAAATATAGAGATACAAATTGGGTACAAGTACAACCACAAAAAATCTCTAAAAATGTACATGGAAAAAGTTTTAAAATTCAATATGTGTTAGTAGACCATTTTTTTTTTTTTTGAATTTAGCTCATTTATTTTGCTATAGGCTAAATCGCCTATGATAATGTTATATATTGTTTTGGAATTAGATATTATTATTTAACGTTTTAAATATGAGTTTTGTGCAAATAAAACGTTCAGATCGTCAATTTTTGCAGCTCTACCCTCCATATCCAAAAAATGCAAACCAATCCTACTAAGTCATTTACAAGATAACTTAAAATATATAGTTTAAAAGATGTATTTAATAACATATTTTATATATTAGTATTCATATAAATTTTTACAAACTATTTTATAATCATAATTATTTATTTTAAAATAATTTCTTGTTATCGTAGTATATGGAAAAAATGTTAATAGATGGAATAGTCTGTTCTAAAAATAATCTGACATCTGCAAATATGATTGAAAAAAACAAAAGAAAAAAAACTAAAAAACCTGAAGATAACAGCGAGGATGAAGGTAAGAGCAGGAGTGATATTGCTAATGGCAGAAGCTAAGGTTGGGTTGCTGTATTTGATGCCTATATATCCGGTGATCACATACATTGATCTGTTTATTTTTATTTTTTTTTGTTCAAGCCAAAAGAAAACAAAAACAGATATCAGCAACACTAAAAGAACTTAAATTTCATATTTAAAATTTGAAAAAAATTGTGTTATTTGAATTTACCCTAGCAATCCAAGAAGTCCTATTTTACTAAGTATTGAGAAAGTTAGTGGAGGAAGTGATCTTGATGACCTGTAAACAAACAAAAAAACATACAAGTTAAACGAATTCAATAGAGAAAACAACTTGGTATGAAATGTTTTCAAAGATTAAAAGTTATTAGAAACCTTTTGGAGAAGACAAAAGAAGGAAGAAGAAGAAGAGAAGCAAGAAGATAAGAGTAGCCGAGGAAAGCATAAAGATTAAGTCCCTTTGAAGTTGCAACTTTAAAGAGAGTACTTATTCCGACCAAGCCGGTTTCGACAGCCAGCATCGCCGTCAAGAACACGGCCTCTCTCCTCCAGAGACTTAATGTTCCGGCCATCTTTTGAAATGAGAGAAAGGTTGGTGTGCAAATGTGTGTTATCTCTTTTTTGTTGCATTTTTGATCTAATAAACTAATAAAGGACCAGAACTGTCTTTGGCTACAATAATTGAAATTTTTCTTGACTTTATACTATTCCCTATTTGAAAGTCCTTTCAAAGGACCACTAGAGAAAATATATGCAATCTCATATCATGAATTTAATACTTATCTTAAAGCTGAAAAAATAAAACAATAAGAGAAAATATTACCACTTTAAGCTTTTCATATGTTCGAAAGGACCTAAGGAAAAATGTAAAAAAAAAAGTTTATTCTAATAATTTATTTATGAATGTTGTAAATATACGGACAAAAAATAATCTATAAGGTTATAATATATATACACTTTTTCTTTTCGGCTACTAGGTTCACAGAGACTTAGAGAAAGTATCAAAAATATGGTATTTGTTAACTATTAGTCTTAATCAGTAATATATATATATATATATATATATATATATATTTGGTTATTCTAAAAGCCTAACTTTATCAAAATCCCTCCAACCAAACTGCAAAATAAAGAACAAAATCAAAGATGAGTAGATGTTTTCATTTTTGTTTTGTTTATGTGTATGAAGATTAAATGATTCATGTACCATCCAAGGTAGAGAGAATCGTTGAGAAAAATCGAACCCATAACCACTGCTATTAGAATAGACAAAGGTTTAAATATCGCTATAAGTACACTGGTCCTTTGTGTCGTACTGTCCATGAATGAATCACATAGTATACTGATGTTATTATTGCCTAAAACATTGCATAAAGAAACCTATGTTTAAAATGAAATATAGAATATTTTGTTACAAAAATAAAAAAATCTAAAATGTACAGTATATAACATATCACAGTTAAAATGTATAAAAAGAAACAAAGATGCCTTGTATGGTTAGAATAGCTCCTCCGATGAACCAATCAGAGTTTGAAGATGACAACAACGGTGGAGAAAGCTGGCGGAGTTTACATACGACGGCGAAGATGCGACGAAGACACACGTGCTGTTTTTGTTTTAATTAAAAATTATGTGTTAATTATATTTTTAAAGCTCTGATTATTTTTTTTGCATTTCCGTTTATAAAGCATCTTAATCAAATTTTATTTGTTAATTTTAGACATAAAAGCAAAAAACAAAACCACAATTGGTTATTTTACGAGTACACTTCACATTTATAGAATTTTTACATGATTAATAATTCAAAACTTTTGAAGTTTTTTGTTTGTATTTTCCTTTTTAACTGCATTTGATCGACCACTTACAAACTGACATGTGTTCGTCTCGTAGGCTTAAAAAATTAGCTCTTATTTAAGATACATTTCTTATCAATTATCGTCATTTACAATTTAATTTTAATCATAAAAATATTTAAAAAACCACTAAGAGAGGTGTATTCAAAATAGAATTTTAAGAGATTGAACCATTGCATCCAGGACCTTTCTATCATCTCTTCTCTAAAAAATTATTGCTGGTTTATATCTTTGGTTTAGCTAAGTACAGAAAGGGTATATATACTTTGTATACATTTCATTTTACACTTAAGCTTTGTAATACTCTTTTACATTAATAAGAAAGTTTGTTAGGAGCTTCACTTTACTCTTTCATCGTCTTCTCCGATCTCAAGTTCCGGTGTATCAGCAACTTCAATATGGTATCAGAGCAGTGCATTTCTTTCTTCCGCTTTGACTGATATCAATACCTATGGTTCCAAACCTGCACCTAAGGAAAGATATGGGAACAGCTTTGCCAAATCCAACATCATACAGAGAATTGATTGGACGATTGCTCTATCTCACCATTACAAGGCCAGATATCACATTTGCAGTACACCAACTCAGTCAATTCATCTCTGCTCCATCTGACATACATTTACAAGCAACACATAAGGTACTGAGGTATATCAAAAATAATCCTGGACAGGGACTGATGTACTCAGTAAATTCAGAGCTCTGTTTAAATGCTTTTTCTGATGCGGATTGGGGTACTTGCAAAAACACAAGAAGATCTATTACTGGAATTTGCATATACTTAGGTTCTTCTTTAATATCCTGGAAGTCTAAGAAACAGGGAGTTGCTAGTCGAAGCAGCACTGAATCTGAGTATCGAAGCATGGCACAAGCTACTTGTGAGATTATTTTGTTACAACAGAGGGATCTACATATCAAGGTCACTTGCACTGCTAAACTGTTTTGTGACAACAAGTCTGCCATGCATATTGCTAACAATCCAGTGTTTCACGAGAGGACGAAACATATAGAAATTGATTGTCACACAGTGATGGATCAACTCAAGGCAGGAAATCTGAAGACCCTACATGTCTCTACTGATAATCAGCATGCTGACATATTGACCAGACCATTGCATCCAGGACCTTTCTATCATATCCTCTCTAAGATGTCACTTTCAAGTCTTTACCTTCCCAAACCAGACAGTTTGAAGCTAAAGACTTGAGGGGGGGGGGGGGAGGGGGGGTGTATTAGAATACTTGGTTATCTGAACCGGTTATTGCTGGTTTATATCTTTGGTTTAGCTAAGTATAGAAAGGGTATATATACTCTGTATACATTTCATTTTACACTTAAGCTTTGTAATACTCTTTTACATTAATAAGAAAGTTTGTTACGAGCTTCACTTTACTCTTTCATGGTCTTCTCCGATCTCAAGTTCTGGTGTATCAGAAACTTCAATACAATGTTAGTTTGGTATTTTCATGGATTAGGACAAACGGTGTAAAAGAAATATATATGATGGTTATAGTGTTAATTGGTATACATATCATTAGTGTAAGTCACTATTGTCTATACATATTGGAAATTTGCGATGTGTGATAATGTTTTGATCTATACTTGGTTTTAGCTATCTATCATTTTCCCAAAAGAATATGAATTTAAGCTTTTCATATGTTCCGAAAGTGCCAAAGAGAAATGTTAACTCGTTGTTTGATATAAGAACCTTTTTTAATTTATGAATGTTGGAGTAGAAGGAAAAAAAGAATCTAAAAGATACACATTTTTTTCTACTAGGTTCATAGACTTATAATTTTTTTTATAAATATGGTCTTTGTTGTTGAAAGAACAAAGTACTTTAAAACAGTATTTGGTAATTAGTAGTCTATTTCCTTATTTCTTTTTTTTTTTAAACTTGGTCGTTCTTGCTGTTCAATAGAAGAGGGGCAAAATCTTTGTCTGAAAATGATAGCAACTTCTTGTCTTCATTTGCTTTGCCCCACATCACAGCGTAAAATCCTAACGTTATCAAAAATCCTCCAATCAAACTGCAAAATGAAGCACAAATTCAAAGATGAGTATATTTTTTTTTTCTGTTAATAGATATGTCTATGAATGCTACTTAAACTAATGATTCATGTACCATCCAAGATAGAGAGAATCGTTGAGAAAAATCGATCCCATTACTACTGCTATAAGAATAGATAACGGTTTAAATATCGCTAAGTACAAAGGTCCTTTGTGTCGTACTGTCCATGAATGAATCACATAGCTTACTGAAGTTATTATTGCCTGAAACATTGCATAAAGAAACCTATGTTAAAATGAAATATAGAGTATTTTGATGATTATCTTTTTTTCCGAAATGTATATAACATACCAAAGTTACAATTGATATCAAAGTAATATCGAAACAAATGATCCAAACGCTTGGACTGTTCATTTCGACTACTAGTCCAATCGCGATGGTCACGAATGAAACACATATAGTGTAGAGAATGGAGACTGTGAATGCTGCTGGATATTCACTCATTATATGTGCCTGTCCAAAAAAACATTCATCATTTTCATATATGTTTAGAAATTATTTTTACCTAGAAAAAGTTGTACCTGTAGAATGAAGGAAATAGAAACAAAGATGCATTGTATGGTTAGAATAGCTCCTCCGATGAGCCAATCAGAGTTTGAAGATGACAACAACGGTGGAAATAGCTGACGGGAGGTTAGATACGACGGCGAAGATGCGACGAAGACACGTGGACCGTGGTAGAGAACCACCACAAGTGCGCCTATTAGTGACAGTATCGTCCCCATCAGTTTGGCTACACTGCTCCTTTCTTTGAATGTTACCTTTTCCATCCTTTATTCAAAAAAATTGACATTTGTTGTTGATTACGTTTTATTCCAAAAGAAATGGTTAACCAATTGAAGATTATTTACCAAAATACTTATAAACGTCTACTATCTACACCAAATATAACAAATTAATACTAACTATTTCATAACATAAGCCTGTTTAAAAAAAAAAAAAAACTATTTCATAGCATTTTACCTAATACGAACAAAACTGCGTAAGACGTTATTCAGTGAGGTAAAAATGTTATTAAGTACGTGAATTATTATCACCTATATGTTATTCTAATATATACATTTTAATTTATCAAATGACTTTACATTTGTATCATATAAACGTATGATCTTTATACAATTTATTAATTTATAGAGATTATTAATCTATCGAGTATTAATTCATAGAGGTTTTATTGTACATTACTATATAGCGCAAGTTTATTAAGCAAATTAAGGCAGAGTTTTTGTTACAATGTCGACTCCTTGGTTAGAATAAATCTTCAAAACCTCATGCTTAAGAGAGAAAAAAAAACCTGAAGATAATAGCGAGGATGAAGGTAAGAGCAGGAACAATATTGCTTATGGCGGAGGCTAAGGTTGGGTTGCTGTATTCGATGCCTATGCATCCTGTAATCAAATACATTGATCTGTTCTTTTAAAAAAGAAAAACCAAAAAAAACCAGCCAAAAGATTACATATTAGCAACAATTTAGAGGATGATAATTTCGTACTAAATATTTGGAAGAAGGAATGGTTTCTTTAGATATTACCCTAAAAATCCAAGAAGTCCAATCTTAGAGAGTATTGTGATACTTAGTGGAGGAAGTGATCTTGACCTGAAAATATAAAACAAACGAAACAAACAAATTTAATAAAAGCTATACACAACATATGGTTTATGAATGGTCTTAATAAAGATTTTAAAGTTATTAAGAACCTGTTGGTGAAGAAAAGAGAAGGAAGAAGGAGAAGAGAAGCAAGAAGATAAGAATAGCCGATGAAAGGGTAAATTTTGAGTCCCTTTGAAGTTGCTACTTTAAAAAGTGTAGTTATTCCAACGGAGGCGGTTTCCGTCGCGAGCATTGTCGTCAAGAACACGGCCTCTCTCCGCCATAGACTTACTGTTCCGGCCATTATTGGAAATGGTAGAAAGGTTTGGTGTGTATATGTGAGTCTTTGATTTATTATCCCTTTCTTTGCTTTTGTGGGTCAAATAGTTTTCGTTTCTTGACTTTATTATAACTTTGTAAGATTCCCTATTCTTTGCGCATATGTACTTAAAACACCTCCGCCAAAACTTTGATCATATAATTTAGTAAATTTGCGATGTGTGACAATTTTGTGATACTGTATGTATATACTTGGTGTAGCTATCTACCATTTTCCCAAAAGAATATCAACTTAAGCTTTTAATATGTTCCAAAGGAGGCAAGGAAAAATGTTAACTTATTGTTTGATATATGAACCTATTCAGGGCCGGCCCAAGTAATTTGGATGCTTAAAGCAAAAAAAAAAAAAAAAAATTACCATTCCATCGAATAAGTTAAAAAAGAAAACTACAAAAAATCTATTTTTCAAGTTTCAAAGCGAGTAACTGTTACACAACTTTGCATAAACCACTGCGCCATAGTAACTTTTCTCAAAATGATGCCCTTAAATAATTTTATATTAATTTGCTGCCTAATAGCTCCGGGCCGGACCTGAACCTATTTATGAATGTTGGAGTTATTAGGTTCGTAGAATTAAGAAATTTTTATAAATTTGGTATTTGTTTTTGAACTAACAAAGTATTTAAAAACAAATCTTTTTTTTTTCAAACTTGGTCGTTCTTGCAGTTCAATAGAAGAGGGGTTCTCTCTTTTTCTGAAAATGATAGCAACTTCTTGTCTTCATTTGCTTTGCCCCACATCACAGCGTAAAAGCCTAACGTTATCAAAACTCCTCCAATCAAACTGCAAAAAGAAGCACAAAATCGAAGATGAGTAGATGTTTTTGTTTGTTTGTTAATAGATATGTGTATGAAGGCTACTTAGAGTAATGATTTCACAATTCACATACCATCCAAGATAGAGAGAATCGTTGAGAAAAATCGACCCCATAACCACGGCTATTAAAATAGACAAAGGCTTAAATATCGCTAAGTACACTGGTCCTTTGTGTCGTACTGTCCATGAATGAATCACATAGTATACTGATGTTATTATTGCCTGAAACATTGCATAAAGAAACCTATGTTTAAAATGAAATATAGAGTATTTTGTTACAAAAAAAAAAAAAATCTAAAATGTATATAACATACCACAGTTAGAATTGTTATCAAAGTAATATCGAAATGGATGATCCAAACGCTTGGATTGTTCTTTTCGACTACTAGTCCAATCGCGGTGGTCATGAATGAAACACATACAGTGTAGAGAATCGAGACAGTGAATGCTGCTGGATATTCACTCATTATATGTGCCTGTCCAAAAATCATATAAATATATCTTATAACAATGCTAGCTAGACTTGGCCTTGATTCGAAGTAAGTATAAGTCATAGAGGTTATTAGGTTAATCTCTATTGCGTTCAATATATCATTATGCAAGTTTAAAAGCCTACCTGTAGAATGAACGAAATAGAGATGAAGATGACTTGTATGGTTAGAAGAGCTCCTCCGATGAGCCAATCAGAGTTTGAAGATGACAACAACGGTGGAGGAAGCTGACGGGAGTTTACATGCGGCGCAAAGACACGTGGACCGTGGTAAAAAATCACAACAAGTGCACCCATCACTGACAAGATTGTCCCCATAACTTTGGCTACACTGCTCCTCTCTTTGAATGATACTTTCTCCATCCTTTATATCAAAAGAGTTGACATTTATCGTGTCACATTTTATTCCAAAAGAAATAATTATATGCATTTATTATATTCATGCAAACGTCCTTGTTAGATTTGGACCACGAGATTGTACATGTAATATCTTAAATGATCAGAAAAAAAAAAAACACAAACCTAAAGATGACGGCGAGGATGAAGGTAAGAGCAGGAGTGATATTGCTAATGGCTGAAGCTAAAGTTGGGTTACTGTATTCGATGCCTATGTATCCTGTAATCACATACATTGATCTGTTTTTTTTTTTTTTTGCCAAGCCAAAACTCATATATTAGCAGAACTTTAGTGGATGATAATTTCATATTACATGTTGGAATGATTTGGAAATTACGTACCCTAGAAATCCAAGAAGTCCAATCTTGCATAGTATTGAGAGACTTAGTGGAGGAAGTGATCTTGACCTGAAAATATAAAACAAAAAAATCTAAAATAATACAAATTAAATAAAATCGATACAAAAGAATGGTTATGAAGTGTCTTTGTAAAGGTTAAAGTTATTAAAACCTGTTGGTGAAAAAAAAAGAAGGAAGAAGGAGAAGAGAAGCAAGAAGATAAGAATAGCCAAGGAAAGGGTAAATGTTGAGTCCCTTTGAAGTTGCTACTTTAAACAATGTACTCATTCCAACGACGCTGATTTCGACCGCGAGCATCGCCGACAAGAACATGGCCTCTCTCCGCCAGAGACTTAGTGTTCCGGCCATTATTGGAAATGGTAGAAAGGTTTGGTGTTTGAAATGTAATGTGAGTCTTTGATTTGTTATCCCTTTGTTTGCTTTTCTTTTATGGGTCCAATAATTGTCGTTTCTTGAAATGGCGGCAATGTAGTGTAGAAAGGACCACTAGAGATTGATAGTTAGATACAACGGACTAAAATACACAAAGACCAAAATTATAGACACATTATAATCATGGAGGAAGTAATTTTAAAGAATTCTAAAGAATATTTTTGCTCTCAAGTGAGCAGCTGGTGGGTACTAAGACCATATCTAATGTATTTCTCTATTTTTTCCTCTAAAATAGAGAAATTCTATAATAGAGGTGAGTTTTACTCCAACGTATTCCTCTATTATTTCCTCTAAAACAGCATATTCCATATAGATTCTATTTTATTTTAGTAGTAGTACCTTTTATTTATAATATATCCAAATAAACCTATTTTCTTTAACTTGTATGAAATCTTCATAAAATGATAATTATTTCAATTAAATATTTATTATTCAAAAAATACGTTGGATCGTATCAAAGTAATCTAACATACTAAATTTATATTTAATCTTTAGAATTAGTGTATTTTTTTCCACAAATAATTATTATAAAATGAATGAAAACTTAGAATTTGTTATTTATAAGACTGTATATATATATATATATATATATATATATGTTTGAGTTGCAAATGTTAATCTCAAATTTTAGAATAAATATTTATAATATCAAAACCTATATTAATTTTAGTCATAAATAATAAAAAGTGAAAAGTTAAAGGACTACTTTATAAAAGAAAAATCCAACTCTATAATAGAGGAAACAATAGAGATCCTCTATATATATAGAGGAAAAAATAGAAATATCTATTATAGAGGTGAGAATAGAGATGGGTTGGAGCAAATTTTACTCTAAAATAGAGTTTAGATGTAAAAAGTGGATCACCGTCGTATTTTAGAACACTGCATGCTTAGGGATAAGTAGAGAGAGATGTAAGAAGGTTTGGTTCCGAAGCTAAGAAGGTATTTAAAACATTTGTTTCAAATTTAATGGAATTTTGAATCATTGTGCTGAATTTATTTCTCTTTGTACTTCGTTATTATTTATTGTAGTATCCCCTCTTTTGGTTAACACCAATTTATTAAAAGGGAGAAACAAAATGCATGTTCTTTATGTATTAAACTAATAAAAGTGCTTACACAACCACATAGTATTTAAAGTTGCACTATATGTTTAAATATATCTTATCATATGTCTTGTGATTGATCATAACATAAAGCTCACAATATGGTTGTTGCCGGCAATTCCAAGAATGAGTTAGTTCAAATAATTACAACTCTTCGATCCTAACCACCACTATGCCGTTGAACATTGGAATAGGCTAAACTAAAGAATGCACAAGAGACTGAAACGCATATGTTGTGGGAATTCTGAGGGATGCAAAATGTTTAGAGGATGCCGGTTCGAATAACGCTGGGATGATACCATATAACATGCTCTGGTTTCGGACCTAAGGGGATGTATGGGCTTTGGCCCAAAACCTGTTCGATTGTTCAAAAAAATTATGAGGGATATTCTCTCATTATATGCAACTACCACCACAAAATAATGTTAATAGATATTAAAACATTATCTAAAGTAGTTCCATCATATTAAAAAATAGGTATAAGTATAACCAAAGTATACCTGATGATATAAGAGACGGCGATGAGTGTGTACTCCAGCGCTAAATGACCTCCACCAATGACACAATTAGTATTCTGCGGTGATGATGGAGGTGGCGTAATTATGGTTATGCCTGGGAAAATACCCGAATCTAAAAATCCAAACCGAACATGGTGTAAAATATCCGAGCTGAATCCAATCCAGACACTAAAAAATATCTGACCAGTTCTTATTTTTTAAACCCAAAACCCCGAATCTGAATCAAACAAGAACCGAAACAGAATAGATACCCAAAATATCAGAAATGTTATGCAAATATTAATTTAGTTTTTTTATATCATTCTACAAAATTTAGGAGGATTTTTAAGATATACCTAAGTTTAAAATTGCTATCAACGGCATGCAATATAATAGTTTTAATCTACATGAAACATGACACAAGACAACATGAACATGCATTAACATCCCTTTTTCATACAAAAAAATCAATATTAACACAAACCACTACGATATATCATGGTTGACATTAGGGATACTAACTAGGGTTTGTCGGTCCAATCCGGCCCTCTATATTTAAAGTTCGTCTCTGAATGAACCCTAACTCTTTTTGAGCCCTGAAAATTTATATAATAGGGTTGAGCTCTGTTTAGCCATTTCTAACCCTATAATTAGTATAATATAAAAAAAATTGCAATAACTAATGTGATTTTAGAATCTATCACAATTTATAAATCCTCATAAAAATCCAATCCCCGATAATTAAAAAACAAACAGTAAGCATAATGAGATTCAAACCCGAGTAACCAAACTTAATTTTGCATCTTTGGCGGAAAAATATTTATTTAGTTTATGGCAAGAAAATATGATTTTACGTTTTTGACAAAGAAATCTAATTTTTCGGTTTTTACGAGAAAATGTAATTTTGCTTTTTTGGCGGGAAAATATTCTTTTTAGTTTATGGCGAGAAAATGTGATTTTACTTTTTTGATAAGAAAATGTAATTTTGCGGTTTTTTCAGGAATATATATATATATATATATATATATATATATTATTAGTTTGTTT